CTTGATTGAAAATGGAATTCCCTAAGTTGTAAAACATACATTCTCAGACTATATTTTCCTACTTATCAAAATTAAGCTTCCGCACCCAATAAAATGAAGATTAACAGTTCAAAGTCTTTTAAGCTTTATGGAATTCTATCTAGATTTCATAAATCGCAAAACCTATCTTTAGCGTTTGCTTAATCTACGGTATTTATCCCAAGAGGCACAATCACAAATCACTTCTTAGTTTCATTGTGAACAACACACATTTGAATGATAATCAAACATGCAAAAGTCATTAAGCAAAGAGATAAATACTCAATCATGAAATTAAAACTCAAAGTAAATCAATTCATATAAATTTGAATCATTGTATCAAGGTTACATCAAACCCTAGCTAGACAACTCAGTTCATACTCAAAAACAAAATAAAATAACAAAAACAAACTGAATCAAGATTCATCATTGAAAAACAAGCAAAAGATTGAGAAATCTTCTCTAATTTGAAGCCTAAATCTTCAATAATCTTCTCCTTCTAAGAGTTGCCTTCCAAATGACGAACCAAGACCATTTTTCTTTCATTTTTGTGCTAATTTATATCTTTTTCACTTAAGGACCAAGCCCTAGCAAGCCAAAACACGTCTTTTTATTTTTCACATCTGATGCAGTTTCGCCGCGGCAAGAATCTTTCGAGCCAAATTTGAGCATGAAAGAGTCTGAATATGGAAAAGTGTTAAACATATGAATTGTAGCCCTTTAAATTATCTTTCTACTCGTTTAAGAATAAACACAATCCGAGGTCTACAGCGCAAGTTATGGCAAAAATACTGAAGCACATTCAAAGATATTTTTCTTCAGTTTCCAACATACTGTTCACGACTTCAAGCCAAGTTTTCACCCTTGTCCAGTCAGAATTAGAAAAAACCCAAAACATGAAAGTTGTAGCTCTGCTTCTTAGCTTTCCAAAGCTTATAAAATTAGGTCATTATGATTTTCCAAGCTCAAGTTACGTAATTTACGCTCAAAACTATCATTTATGCTCAAAATCATCGTTTAGGCTTGCAAAGACAAATGAATAGAATTAGGTAGCAATTATGACCCAAATTATATGAGAAGTATCCTAAATCCTATCGAAATTCAATCCAAAATCATACGGAAAAATAGGATTATCATTTACAACAACCACAAATCCACCAAAAATATTATACACAAATTTAGAGTTCAATCACAACTCTAACAAAAGTAAAATATGGATTACAATCACTCCAAATCAGATCCTCATGTAAAAGAGAAGTTGGGAATTGGGAAAGAGAAACTTGAATATAAAAGAGACAAAACCTAACTTTTTAATTTTTTTTTTTTTTTTAACCTTTTAAAAAAACTTTTCAATTTTTTTTTTTTAAAGTTGAGGGCAGGCCTGGGCCTACCCTCAAGGGGCCTGGGTCCACCCCTGAGTATAACATACCCACCAATTAATCAAACATATTTTCTTAAAGATTCCCAGTAATCTTTAAAATAATCTAACATTCCCTGAACTAAACGCCCCGCAGCGTTAATATCAGTTGCTGGAAAGATATTCTGAAGCATAATAGTTGTGAGCTTTAAATGTTGATTATCAGCTCCAAAAGCAGAAAGAACAATCTGCCTGAATGGCAAATAAATAGCAAGAGAACAAAACCTTCATTAGCTGTTTAAAACATTCTTTTCATAAATATATCACTCCACTCCTAATATACGTTGAGAAACACTGAAATAAACGAGTATAGATGAGCAAGATATACCCGTGAATCAGACATAGAGGTGACCAAGACCCACCATTTATAGTGTTGCAATAATAAATTTCTCATAATCAAGCCATTTCATGACATTGAATTGAATAAAAGAAATGTATTATTTAGACCTGACAATTTTTTTTTTTTTATTAAGAAAAATAAATGGAATTATCTGAAGTTTTATTTAAGGAATAACGATGGTGGGAGCATATAGCATAAGTGAAGGGATTAAAACGTTAACTTTTTAATAATATAAGAAAAATGGAACGAAGAGCATTTATGAAATTTATGGGCGTTATAAGAAAAAAATTTAATTTTAAAACTTTAAAATGAGATGTGTTAAAGAAATTAGGGTTCCCTTAGTGGGGTGTCAATAGATCTACTACAGTTAACAAGTAAAATTAAGAGCAAAAGACTTTTTCTCATTCAAATAATGGCTTAGTAACATTTTCCCATCCACAAACTTTTAAAACATCACTTTACTATCCAATGTATATTCCGTTTCTGATTTCGACATCATTGCGATCTCACACCACCACCATTCTCTGCCCCGATCATCACTCACCAAAACCCCTCAAATCCTACTCCCTCCGATCCCGCCAATCGTCGGTAATCGAACGATTAGGGTTTGCATAACCATCTCTCCCAAGTCAAATTTCAAAAAATTGCAACCACAAAAATCCAACTTTCCACCACCAAAAGAATCATCGACCTCTCCTCTTCAAAAGCCTCAACGGCCTGTAATGAGTTTGCTTTCTGTTTATTGCCGGAATATAAATTTGGATAGTAAAGTGGTATTTTAAAAGTCTATAAGTAAGAAAGTGTCATTAAGTCATTATTTGGGTGAAAAAAAGTCGTTAACTGTAAAATTAATAATTTATTTTGATAAGTTTTTATGGGCTTAGAGTGTGAATATTAGAGCCCCTCACTAAGAATGTGAGTATTGTTCGAGCGAATATATGTTAATGCTTCAATCTTTTTTTTTTTTTTGTATTTGAGGGTGTCGAGTCAGTTTACACGTACTTCAACTAATCTACTGGACCCTAAAGTTAACGACCAGTTAAGCCTTTAGTGGCTACCCTTATTAGTAGTCACGAAGATTCAAATTTAAGAGGTCTTGAGTAATACATCCAAGAGTCCTAAATGAACTGTCAAACTACGTAGAGGTAATTTGGCGCTTCAATCCTTAATGCTATAAATCCTGAATCCCTTATTATTTTTCGCGAAATCGAATGCATCAACAGAAAATGAACCATAACACAAAATCTTAGGGTCCGTTTGGTTCATTATTCGGATAGTTTTTAGAATAATATTTTGAAAAAAGTTAAATTGGACGGGTATTATGATGTAGGATTTGGATATTAACAAAATACCCCCTATGTTTGTTTATTTACTAAACACCCCTATAATAAAATATTAAAAGTTAACAAAAATACCTCTAATCCATCCATTAAATACGGACAGCCGGAGGGTGGTCGGAGTGTTTTTGCAATTTCTAAAAAAAATATTTGAGACGTTTAGTTAAATTAACAAATTTAGAGAGGTTTAAAAGAAATTAAAAAATATAGAATAATATTTTACTGTTTAACTTTACTGTAATTATTTGTACAAGTGTCTGATAAATTATGCACCATCTGCTCAAAATATATGCTGACATTACAGAAGATATTAGTTAAATTAAACAATCATACAAACATCTCAATTAAATATGCTCAGTGACTTAATCAACTCATATAGGGACCATCAAAATATTTATTAACTTGTATAATTGGCGAGCCTAATTGGATAAAAGTATAGAATTGACGACATTTATCACACTAATTTCACATTAAAAAAGTAATAATAATAATAAAGAATAAAATGTATATAAATTAATGTGAATTTAGTAATTAATTTTATAAAGTTATCCGGTGGGACGATAAGATTTTAGTAGATCATTTTGTGTTAATTGAGTTTGTTAAATTTTTAATGAATGTTAAAGATTAATTAAGTTAGACGTATTCTGATTATAAATAAAAAAAAAAAATAATAATAATATTATCCATACATTCATTGCTTAAAATTAACGTGACACAATATTTCACTTCTGATTTTAACGTCCTTCACATAAGTCATAACCTATAAATACTCACCTAAACAAAAAGAAAAGCAAAACAAAAGAAGTTTGATCAGCGTAACAATTTCATCAATTTTAACAGGTTTATATTTATTCTTCTATTTTTTACTTTTTCAAATTTGAACTAAATAATTTGTTGTTGATCGTACTTCGCTTCTCTGCTTCCATGAACGATGAAGCTTCTGTTTCGTTGTTCCGATTGCTACGGTCTGTTTGGTTACATGAAGTTTTAGGTTAGGGTTTATTTTGAAGTAGTATTTGATAATTGTTTAGTTCATGGAGAGAAAAAGTTTGAGCCAAACAGTTTGTGTTAGGTTTGGTTGAAGTGTTGATGATTATGAGTTTTTTGTTTTTCTTTTCTGCACTTTCTCAATAGCCAAACAGAGCATTTCTTGTGGACACAATATCACATGTGGATATATTCATGTAAATGCTAATTCTTAAGCTTGTGTGCTTCTGCATTTGTTGCTTCTCAAAGTTTGTGTTGGTATAAACGATTAGTATATTTGAGTGACTTAGCTGCTGTTAGTTTTGGTCCATTTGATGTCTGGTCTGGTAATTTTTTTAATTCTAGTGTGATTTACTTCAAATAGGATATTTTGCTTGCTGTTGGTTCAGTTATGGAAAGTAGTGTATATAGAAGCTTCTAGGTCGTGGTTAAGAATATGTTAATTCATTTGTCTTATTTGAAATAGAGTTTCTGAATTCTAGCATGTAGAACCTCAACATTTTTCTCCATTCAGAATAAGAAATATGGAAAATTTATAATGCAGCCTGTGATGGGTTATTTCAGTGAAGTTTCAGTTTAATGCTTTGTTTAGTAGAAAAATTGTACTTGACAAAATATATTACAAGCCTTCTTCGAAGTATCTGATTTTGCATTCTGTCACAATCTCTAAAATTAAAACGATGCTGGTGCTATGATTTAACTTTCTTTCTGTTTTTATTTTTTTTGGTCATTCAAATTTCCTTTTGAGTTTAACATGTTAACATTTAGCTACCTTTAATTGTCCTTCGTTTCTATGTCTCTTGTGTTTGCTTGTTTTCTTTTATCTTTTTTTCTAGTTGTAAGAGAAAGTTATGGTTTTCAAAACTTTCCATTTTTGTTCTTATATGTCTGTGAGGTTAGCTTCAAGTTGAATACTTTCTCTCCTTTGCTTAAATTGGGATATCTCTTTACAATGCTCTCTGTCCTACTCCTTTTCACACGGATAAGGTTTACAATAGGAAGGTGTTTAAGACACAGGATGGCAAGGGTTTAATATAGCATGGATGGTCGTGAAGGTTGGATGTTGCCAAACGGCTTTTCTCCTAATGGTCTCCTGCCTGACAGAGCGGCCTCCGTGACTCAAGTGCTTGATCAGGAGAGATGGTCACGAGCTGAAGAGAGGACTGCAGAACTTATTGCTTGCATACAGCCAAACCAACCCTCTGAGGATCGAAGAAATGCTGTGGCAAGATATGTGAAATGCCTAATCAAGAAGTGCTTTCCGTGTGAGGTAAAAACTTTAATCTACCTTCTGATTGGTTTTGAAGAACAAATAAAATTTTTCATCCTCATTTTATATTCGCTTTCTAGAGATTTTTACTTTGTCTCTTAATGCAGGTTTTCACCTTTGGATCAGTACCTCTAAAGACTTATCTACCTGATGGAGACATTGATTTAACAGCATTCAGTAACATGCCAAATTTGAAGGACAATTGGGCAAATAAAGTACAAGAAATTTTAAAGAGTGAAGAGAACAATGAGAATGCTGAGTTCCGTGTGAAAGATGTTCAGTGCATAAACGCAGAGGTATGCTCTGTTTAGTGCACCTGATATTTCTTCATTTTCTCATTGTTGGTCGAACCTCTGTCTTATGTACTTGGTTCTGTCTTATGTACTTGGGCAGTTTGTATTTGCTATTATTTGAAATTATAATTGTCACTCTGGATAAGTCAGTCCCAAAGCACTGTTCATTTTTTTTCTTTTATACTTTGTTGAGTTTAATAGTGTCCGCCACTTGCTAAAGAAGTTTTGATTGGAAAGAGATTAACTTCACTGTTCTGACTTAAGGAATGTTTAGGACAGAATTTGACTAGAGCTAGTGAAAAATATACTGTATATTAGGCAATTAATGCAGGATCTCATGCTCTTGCCAATTGCTGTGCTAGTTGGAGGGAGGGAGCATGAGTGTTCTCAATGGAGTTGCTGATTGAGAGCATTATGAATATATTAGTGTCTTTTCTGTTTGAGGTCAAACACTTACCCCCAACTATTCTTTTTATCACTAATTTGGTTCCACTTATGATTTGAACATAGTTTTTCTTGGTTCTTGTGGTTTCTTCGGTCTTGAATAGCTTTCTTCATTCTTTCTAATTGATGCAATTAGTTTCCTTTTTTAGAAATGAAATTGATATGTGAGTGTTCTCTTCGGTAAATCTTGATTTAATTAATTAACTGTTGGGTTTTCATCTTTTGCATATGTTTAATTAATGGATATATGCTTATGTGTCTGTTTGTCTCTAGATTTTATGATGCTGCAACGATTTTTATTCCTTTATTTTTGAGGTACATATTAGCATCCTTTATGTATTCTCTTTTTCTGCTCTCACCTATTTTCCATCAACTTGTAGGTGAAAATAATAAAGTGCCTTGTAGAAGATGTTGTAGTAGACATCTCTGTTAACCAGCTTGGTGGTTTATGTACACTTTGCTTCTTTGAGGAGGTGAGCTATTCTTATTGCTATTTGTGAATTGTTTAGTATACTCTTTTTGTCTCATTAGTACCAGTTTTGACTACCTAAATATTATCTTGTTTCTAGGTGGATAGCTTGATAAACCATAGTTATCTATTCAAGCGCAGCATTATATTGATTAAAGCTTGGTGTTACTATGAGAGCCGTCTCTTGGGATCTCATCATGGCCTTATTTCGACTTATGCGTTGGAGACCTTGGTTTTGTACATATTTCATGTTTACAATAATTCATTTGCTGGACCTCTCGAGGTGAAAGTAGTGGTATTCATTATTTTTGTGTATCTGTCTGTTTGTTTGTGGTTATATCTAATACTTTTATATCTCATGTGCAGGTTCTTTATCGTTTTCTAGAGTTCTTCAGTAATTTTGATTGGCATAACTTTTGTCTTAGTCTGCAGGGCCCAGTGCCAATTAGTTCACACCCTAACATGGCTGGTATGTGTGGACCCATATAATGATATTTATATCATCTCCTGCTTCAACAATGGCCATAATAAGTGTTTGGTGATAATTGACTTTGATTTTTGTATATAATGTACTATAGCGGATCCTCCAAGAAATGATGGTGGAGAGTTATCACTTAGCAAATTGGTTTTCGCATGTACATCTGAGTATGCTGTTTTGTCTCAAGGCCAAGCAAATCCAGAGCAGCCCTTCAGTTTGAAACATTTTAACATCATTGATCCATTGCGTGTTAACAACAATCTTGGGCGCAGTGTCAGTAAAGGTATTTAATATGATTTATATACATAAGCTGCAACAGTTTTCTATTTGAGTTGCAAACTCTTGTTGACAAAGTTGTTGATCCCTTTTTTTTTTAATTATAATTTTTCTAATATGCAAATTTTGCATGAATATGTTCAGAATAACCAACTGGATACATTTCTAATTTTTCATTGTTTCTTTTGAATTTCTGATTCTTCTGATTTGGCTGTGGTTCTAATTGATATGATATTTTTGATGAGTGATTTATACTTTTGGCAATTTATTTAAATGTTAGCTGGCAGTTGTAATGCAATAGATTGTTATGATGGGTTGGAGAACAACAGATTGTCCAGGTCGGTCAACTGCTCCCGACTGCATTACTGGTATAGTTGTTATGAAATCAATCATGACCATGTTTATTTGTAATAGAATTACATGCATTCAATCATTTGTTGGTATATATTTCATTAATGTGTAATAATAGAGTAAAGGAGGAATGATTTGACAAGATAGGATGGAATAACAAGGTCTATTTGTTTAAGAACAGGTTAGTTGTACCAGTCCATGTAAGCTTCTGGGCACAATTACATGGTCCCATTCAGGTTTTTCCCATGCAAGTTCTAGTGGCCTAAACTAGAGCCTTCAGATTGGTGTTGAGCCAGGACTAGTAGACTGCTCTTAGGTTGGCTTGAATGCTGGTCCTACAGACTCTATGCGGGATCTTACCAAATTCAGTTATGCCTTTATATTTTAAGAAGCAGTTGATTGATATCAACATGTAGTTTTCAATAGAGTATCTAACTACCCATTTCTAAGTTTCCCTTCAGGTAACTTCTTTAGGATTCGTAGTGCTTTTTGTTTTGGGGCTCAACGACTGGCAAGGTTAATTGAATGTCCAAAAGAGAATCTAATTGCTGAACTGAACCAGTTTTTCATGAACACATGGAACAGGCATGGGAAAGGCCATCGCCCCGATGCTCTGAGTGTTGATATGCATGGTCTGCAATCTGGTAACTTGAATAAGATTGATAGGCCTGATAGTTTCAGGTATGGTTTAAGTAGCACCAGGGATGAAGTGACAGAAAAATCTACCTGTTATACATCTGAGATGACAGGGAGTCGTTTTTCTCTCACACAACTTGGTGATTCTTCCCAGCATGGTAAACATACCCTGACATGGATGTCTAGCACTGGTAATGGATCTGCTGTTTCTCATACTGAGAACCGGAAAACTTGCACCAATGCTACTAATCCAGCATCTTCCCATCAGAAACATCATGATTTGCAAAATGTTAGTTCAAATGAGAATACACAAGTTGATAGGAGTAGAAATTCTAGATCTGATTTCTTGAGGAAAGAAGTACGTGTCAGATATCAGTTTGGGAGGACATATTCTAGTCCGGAACTCACAGATAGATCCAGTGACATTTTATTTAGATTAAGGAGTGGTAGTGTATTAGAATCAGGCAATGGAAGGAATGCTCCAACAAAGTCAGATAATAGGAGACAGAACTTTTGTCCCGAAGGTTTGGACAACCATAGTGCAAAATTTCCAACTGAAGATCACCCAATTTCAAGTCAGAACTCGTCCCATCAGCATATTGATTCTGCTGTTGATTTGCATGGTGCTTCAAATAGTTGCTATGATGGTTCTGGCATGGGTTACATGGGAAAACACAGCCACCCTGTTGCTGAGACAATGCAGATGTATCAGGAAGAGCAAGATTTTGTGAACATGATGGCATCCAGGTTTAATATCAATGGACAGGTTCAGATGCAAGTTCCCATATCACCTACTGTAGTATCTTCACTGGGATATGCTAAAAAGAATCTGGTTGCGACCGTTCCCACAAATATTCCTGTTATTAGGTCCCCTTGGATTTCCAAGATGCATTATTCTCAAGGTTTATTTCCCTTGCCAGTATCTCAATATCATCAAGGTATAGGAATGACATCAAATAGAGAAGAATTTACTAAACTAGTTGACAGTAATTTGATATCAAAGGAGTTGAATCAAGAAGACAGTGATCTTGGTTTCCAGCATGAGCAGAACGTTGATTCTCTAAGAGATTATGACCACGGTAATAGAAATTTACAAGCTCGACAGCTGGAGGATAGGCAACAATTTTCTTTGGGGTGTAGTTCATCTGAAGTTACAGATAGTGGAGGTTTGATTGGGGAAATATATGTTGGCAGTTTCCCTTGCGAAAGGATTTGGGAAACTGATGTTAAGTCTGGTGCCAGTTCAAGATTTGTATCTTCCCAACCTATTCCCTCGAGAATCAAACCATCTTCAGAGAAGTTCTGGGATGGATCTCCTTCTAGACCTTACAAGTCAACACGGGATAAGCATGGCAGGAAATCAGTTTTTTCTACAGACCCTTCTACTAAGGAGGAGTTGGCTAGGAATGGAGGGCATAATGAGGGTGAATCAGTTGATCCTGTTTCTTCTGAGTCAGATGAGGCCACAAGAGAGCAGATCCCACTTCCAACAGCATGCACTGATGTTGTGGAAAGCTCAGTTTCTGGATCTGTTTTTTCTTCACATGTTCAGACCCATCAAGTACCTCGTTATGAACCGGCATTAGTGAATGGATCAAATTCAGACCTTCCGGTTGCTTCAGTATTTGTAGGTTCTCAATCAGAGCATAATGATGGCAAAAACCAAGGGGTATTACCATTTACACTTTTTCCAATGTGGACAGGAGTCACAGGAATTCGATTGCCAACTATGCTTCCAATGTATAATCTCTCAACTGAGACAGGAATCTCTAGTGCATCAACGAACCATTATGATGGGGATGAAGAGTTTGATAATTGTCCAGAACATCAATCAGATCACAGCTTAGATTCAACTGAAAGCCATGATCAGTCAAAGCTTTACAAAACGTATAATTCTATGAAGGATGTTGCTTCTTTGGAGCCATCTGAACATCACGAGACTGACATTTTAAAAAGTGATTTTGTCAGCCACTGGCAGAACCTGCAATATGGGTGGTTTTGCCAGAAGGCTGAACTGCATGGGCCTTTACATCCTTCCCTCGGTATGGTGCCACCAATGTATGCGCGGGAACATTTCACATGGGATAAAACTGGAATACCTCCTGCTGCAAATATTAACCTCCTCTCACAGCTTATGGGTTATAGTCCTAGCTTCACTCCGGTTTCCCCTAACCAGCCTATAGATGATTATGAGCACCAGGATGAAATACCCAGATGTCGTAGCAGTACTGGAACTTATCTGCCCATTCATGTAAGATGATGGGTTTCAAATTTAACTATTGTATATTTTCTGATGGTGTGGTCTTCATCTTATGCTGAATATTTAATGCCTGATTTGAATTAATAGTTAAAAGTTAGGTGTAGTATTTAGGTTAAGTACCTTGCAGTGTCTTGCTAAATTCCTACTGAATTTTCTGGAAATGTTGGTAGAAATGAGGCTCTAATAGTTGTGTGATTTGAGGGGACCTAACCGGGGATTGCATGGAAGACTTAACTATCTGAATATGTTTTATTTATTTATTTATTTATTTTGTATTTGTTTCTGTGAGTAACCTGCTTAGCTTCTGAATGCCTGTTTACAAAGGAATCTGTGATGTTCTGTTTATGTTATACATTTATTAGCCCTGACCTGGGTTTGGTATTAATGGAGAGTCCTGTGTTGCCTGTTCGATGGGGGAGCTTATTGGGATTATCTTCTGTTTTTCTTTCTGCAGAAGAGGTCTTTCCGTGGCCGGAAATCTTCAAATACCAGGAATCACAAGAGGTATCATCGCTGTGATCGGAAGGATCATGTTGGTGAGAGGGAAGGAAGCTGGAATGCAAATTCAAAGCCACAACTTCCTGCTCGTGGCCAGGGTTGTAACCAAGTTAAGAAGCCAAACAGGAGAATGGATAGGGCTACAGCAAGCAGTAACCGATCTGATAAGTCATGGGATTCATTTGAGCATGATTGTCTTCCGTCATACCATTCTCACAGTGTTCCATCAACTATCTCAAACTCCATAAATCATGGCTCTGCAACTGTGGCATCTGGCATGAATTCCTTACCATTTGTAAATCCTAGTGGTCTTTCTACCTCTGGAACTGCTGTACCATCCCTAGTTAAGCTCTATCCATATGATCAAAACATGGAAGTTGGTTCTCTTGCCGAGCAGCTTGAGTTTGGCTCTCTTGGAGCAGTTCGTTCAGGTGCAGATGAAGCAGCACATGTTGTTGAGGGTTCATCAAGGGTTGTTGATGAGCAGCACAAAAGCCATGACCATTCTGGACTTTCTTCTTTGGATCAGCTCTCCTTTTCTCAGCTTCAAAGGTAATAGCTCTTCTCATCTCTCAATATGAATGTGATATTTCATGGGTTTGGAGCACTATTAATATTGAAGTTTCCACCAACGTTCTGGTTGTAAATACAGTCTAGCTAGCTCTGTATTGATTTTTTGAGATGAAGGGTCTTTGCAGTACAATCTTAGCTAGATAATCTTCTTGTTTGACACTTGTGCCAAGCTGAATTGGGCTGGTCATAGGATAAACGAACTAGATAAGAATGAACTAAGTTCAGGCATGAGCAGGCCCCCAAAATTTTTCTGGAAATGACTCCCAACAGTTAACAACTATTTTTTTAGTTTCTACCATTTTCTTCTGTCTGAATGTGCCCCTCTGGTGTCTGCCAGTTGCCATTGGTTATGACTTAAAGTGACTGGGCAAGTTCAAGTAGTTTGTTAGATGATCAGTTGTGTAACCAGTAGGACCTGGAATAAGTCATTTGATTTGCTGAGTTATTTCTTGAGTTTTTCATCTTTCCTATCGAAATGAGTGTGATGATGTAAATATGTCATCTTAACAGGAATGCTTGATTTTGCTAGATCGGCTGACTGAAGAAATTATCAACTCAAGAGATTCAATTGGAGCAAGCAACTATGCCGCCACCTGCCTAAGCCTAACCATACCGAGCCACTGTAAACTTAACTACTCACTTTTAGCAAAATCTTCATCTCTGCTCCAGCCACTTGTACATTCCTTTCATGCAATTCGACGATAGCCACTTTGTGAACGGCCAAATATGTTTGTGGGAGGGAGAAGCCATATTTGTAGTACATAAGATAAGAGTGATTGTGATGTTGAAAATTCAAAAGGATTATCGTGTTTCCATTTCGCTCTACAGGGTTCATTAATTCACTATTTACTGACTCAGATGAAGAATTAGTTATATTTTAGTTCATTTTTCACTTTTATGGTGCGTAGAATCCACCAACTTTTCATTATAAAGAAAAAAGCGACTGTAATTCTAATCGCTGACTTGTACAGTCGTTTAATACACACCAAAGCATATACAAAACAGCTAAAGCCTCCATTTTATAGGCAGGCCATTCATTGATCCTAATATACAGACCATGATAAAACTCGGTCTGAACTCAACTATTTATACCCCAAATTTGAGAATGTTGTCTAGTTGAAGAAGAAGATTTCCTCCATCTTGCTAGACGCAATAAGAAAGTCAATACTTCTGAAGGATCCTTTAGTGAATATGAAGCTTTAGTATCCTTTGGAGTTGAAGATACGATAATGGGAAACCCTCGCCCTCTACTCTTTATAACCTTGAAAGCGTCTTCATCTGTTCGATCATCTCCAATGTAAAGTGGTAGGACATCGCTGGAATTGCTCAAGCCCAGAGTTTCCAGTAAATATTCCAGAGCGTGACCTTTGTCCCACTCTATCGACGGTCGTATTTCCATAACCTTTTCAAAAAACGTAGTGGGTTAGAAGACAAACAATTATATAGCACAGATTTGTATCCATTAGTTTGAATGATTAATTTTTCTTACCTTTTTCCCCTCGCTTAAGTGAAATTCTGGATAGTTTTTCAGTACAGATTTCACCTTCTCCTGCAGTATACTGTAATCCTGCAAGTAAGATGTAACTGAGATTAATTGCTTATTTTCTTGTTAAATGATATTCACAAACAGGAAAATCTTCATTAATTTTACCTCATCTCGGACCTGTCGAAAGTGTACAGAAACACAGAATCTATTGTCTTCAACGCTGGCGCCTTGTATTTTCTTTGTTTCTTCTTCCAACTCTGTGATTATCTGTTACCAGACAATGAAAGTATTACATGAGATTCAACAATTGTATTCACTAAAAACTGCATGATGGATGGCTAATTGAAAGAAAGAAGAAGATTAGCTTAATTACCTCTTGAATTGCAGGCAAAAATTTCTTAGCAGGCTGAAACGCTACTTCATTCCCCTAGCAGATTAAATAACATTGTATTAGTTTGAGGGGTAAATAATTATAATTGGAGGAAACTAGAAAGCGAAAATTAGAGCAGTAGCTGACCTTAATGCCGGGGCTAATGGTATGATACTTGCCATCAGAGGACTTAACTGGCCTCGGTGGTGCCTTAATGTCCATTCCATGGCTTCCAGCGTAATAGACATTACTCAACTGTACAAATTGCTTCACCTAAAGAGTCCAAAAGATGAAGAGTCAGATTCACCATGTACCCAGCAAAAAATATATTAAAAGTACGTAGAATTTAACTCAGTTAATATGTACCTTCTCTCGGCTCCTACCACTCACAATAGCTGTAGGAAAATATTTTGCAACTTCACGCACCGCCGCACGCATCTGCAATTAAGATGGTTAAATGACCAGATTAAGAGGTTTTGTATATATGATGATGATTAATTAATTGTATTTCTAATTACGTTACCTCATCGGACATGAAGGCTTTATCAGGGTCATCAACAATTGGTGAGAGAGTCCCGTCGTAATCTAAAAACACGGCAATCTTCTTCCCTTTTGCTGCTTTCATCATCCGTTCAAATGAGTCCAGCGCAGAAGGGTGTTCAAACTGCAACATGTCCATGCATGCAAATTTTAACGTTTAACTTACTTCATTCAATCTCAAAACCTTTTCGTATAATCAAAATCTGACGCAAAATATTATGACAAATGTACACGTATTAGATAATGAAAAGCCTACCTTCCATGGTGTATAAGATTCAATATCTGAGATGATAGAATCAGGTGGGACTAAGGAGTGAGCACTACCATTCTCATCGTTCTTTGCTTTTGAGATGGGTTGCAGTTTCCGTTTACTGGAATGTGATCCTTGAAGCCCCATTGCTTGCAGGATCTTGAATATCTGAGAATGTAAAAGGATCAGATACTTAAGCAAATTACGAATTTCAAGACCATCAATAAAGATCCATTCCGCTTGTGCAGATAAGAATAAGGTACCTGAATTTCACTTATCATGCTGAATATACTAACTTAGTCTGATGCCTTTTTCTACAGCTTCAAAATAACATACATATATAGATATTCCTGCAATAGAAATATTCGAATAAGACAACTGGCAAGTTGCACGAAGTAAACAGAGGACCCAAAAGAAAGTCCTTAGAAAGTCCTTACATGTAAAATATCTAACGCGCCTAATAAGAGTTGAAATATGTGGTTCTCATTTTTTACCTGTCGGAAGTCTTAACCACTCGGCTTGATTAATATTTACTTGGTCAAAATAAAATCAGCTTCTAAAAAGTGCTTTTTGTTCAACAGAAGAAAAAGACAAAAACGTTTTTGAAAATGATAATGAAATAAGCAGAATTAAGAAATTAATTTTGTCAAACAAGGACATTCAAAGGTCGGTGGTTTAACCTAACACGCATACATAAAAATGAAACCAAAATTCCACGTGTAAGTGTACAATATCATGAACATTATTAATTACAGTGGGAACTTTTTAGTCTAAATTAA